CAAGATAAAACAAAAGACTAGATATTAGCATGACAATACCCCACCTGTACCTATATTCTCCTGATTGAACTTGCTGAGAACAGACTGAACCAAGAGGCAACGTCAATAGCATTTGATCTGCTGCTTCTGCAAAAAGCCAGGTCACTTATCTGAATATGTACAAAGCTGTCTGTTTAATGGTAATGCAAAAAAAAGCAGTGGGTGACAATATAAAACAATGACTGCTTTCCAGAGAAGGGCTATCCCTGTGTTCCAGAAATCAATCTGCTATCTGCCAAAGCATCACAATGACTTTGTGCAGTGCAGTAGGTAAGATGGTTCCAGTTGCCTGCTTAAAGTGCGAACAGCCCACGAGGCAGCCATTTACCAGGCAGGACCACAGCGCACTAAGTGAGCGCAGGACAGCTAATGTCACCCCCTGCTGCTTTTTTTAATACTTCTGTCAGCTCCGCAACACGGTGACTGCTGCTGGAAAAAAACATGCCTGGTGTTTCTGACAGCTTCCTGCAGAGTTACATGGAGAAGAGACAGACAGTCTGAAGGCTCAAAACGAGATCAGCACACGGAAAACATGCCTCACATTTTCATGCTTGTCTCCGTCTTTTGGGGAGAGGTATGTGGGGAGGGGAAGAAGAGGGGCAGGGTAATGAATTATGTTATATAGACAGACAGTGTACCAACAGCTCTAATAGTATGAGGACGCCATCATGTTAGAGAGCATGAATGTGACCCCCAGCCACTGGCAAAGCATCAAGAAAGTTAGGCAATGGCACTGAGACACAAAAATAAAATAATAATTTCTATACCCAGGTACAACTATCACAGCACTGTGATGGCTGACCTTAAGTAAGGTCACATAGAAAATAAGGCGTATAGAAAATAAGAAAATAAGGAGGTGATTCGTGACAGCCAACATGGCTTCACTAAGGGCAAATCCTGCCTGACTAATTTGGTGGCCTTCTATGATGTGGTTACAGCATTGATGGATAGGGGAAGAGCAACTGACATCGTCTACCTGGACTTATCCAAAGCATTTGATACTGTTCCACACGACATCTCTGTGTCTAAACTGGAAAGACATGGTTTTGATGGATGGACCTCTTGGTGTATAAGGAATTGGCTGGATGGTCGCACTCAAAGAGTTGTGGTCAATGGTTCAATGTCCAAGTGGAGGCCAGTGACGAGTGGTGTTCCTCAGGGGTCAGTACTGGGGCCAGTGCTATTTAACATCTTTGTTGGTGACATGGACAGCGGGATTGAGTGCGCCCTCAGCAAGTTTGCAGATGACACCAAGTTGTGTGGTGTTGTGGACACGCTGGAGGGAAGGGATGCCATCCAGAGGGACCTCGACAGGATTGAGAGATGGGCCTGTGAGAACCTCATGAAGTTCAACAAGGCCAAGTGCAAGGTCCTGCACGTGGGTCGGGGCAATCCCAAGCACAAGTACAGGCTGGGCGGAGAATGGATTGAGAGCAGCATGGAGGAAAAGGACTTGGGAGTGCTGGTGGATGAGAAGCTCAACATGAGCCGGCAATGTGCACTTGCAGCCCAGAAAACCAACCCTATCCTGGGCTGCATCAAAAGAAGTGTGGCCAGCAGGTCAAGGGAGGTGATTCTGCCCCTCTACTCAGCTCTCATGAGACCCCACCTGGAATACTGCGTTCAGCTCTGGAGTCCCCAACACGAGAAGGACATGGAGCTGCTGGAGCAGGTCCAGAGGAGGGCCATGAAGATGACCCAAGGGCTGGAACACCTCTCCTATGAAGACAAGCTGAGAGAGTTGGAGCTGTTCAGCCTGGAGAAGAGAAGGTGATCTTATCGCAGCCTTCCAGTACTTAAAGGGGGCCTACAAGAAAGCTGGAGAGAGACTTTTTACAAGGGCGTGTAGTGATAGGACAAGGGGAAGTGGCTTTACACTGAAAGAGGGCAGATTTAGATTAGATATAAGGAAGAAATTTTTCACTCAGAGGATGGTGAGGCACTGGAACAGGTTGCCCAGAGATGCTGTAGATGCCCCATCCCTGGAAGTGTTCAAGGCCAGGTTGGATGAGGCATTGCTAAACCTGGTGTAGTGGAGGGTTTCCCTGCCCATGGCAGGGGGGTTGGAACTAGATGATCTTTGAGGTCCCTTCCAACTCAAACCATTCTATGATTCTATAATTCTATAAATACTCCAGGTTTGACCCTAGTCTTCCCCTATGGGATGCTAACTCTTAGGCCAACAGAAGGAATGATGCCACTGGAATAAACAGGTACTCTGCAAAAGATCAGAGAAGGAGGCCAGGTCTACTCATAACAAAACCTCAGTACTGCAGAAATAGCTACATGCGGTGCATATCCAACATCAAGGACTTGATTTCAAGTCACCATTGTGGGGACTATGCTGAAAGTGAAGGGCAGGTTGCTGGCTTTAGAGCCGAGGGATTAAACTGAGAACACCAAACCAAATTTACTGTCCCGATAACAGTCACTCCTATTTTCTCCACAGTTCATGCCCTCCCCCAGTGTGCTGAACCTGCCTCTTCCTTATGCTGGGAAGAAATAAGGGAGAAGGGCATGCAGTCCAGTACAAGAACAAAGAAGAAAGAGCACTGTTTTGACTAGACAACACACAATGGAAGCATCAAACAGGAAACAGGGAAAGTCTCTATGGCCTTAGAGGGAAAAATCTGTCCAGTACTCACGGGGAGGCAGAGAGAAAAAGGCATGTGAGGGGTGGAAGAAAACATTTTTCTGGTATTCAGCAAGAAGAGATTTAAATATCACTGAACTAGTAACCTATACAAAATTGGCACACTCTTCCAGGTGTAATAAATTAATTTGATCCAGTCACTGCTCTGAGCATGAGTAAAGGTGGGGAAGCAGGACAGGAATTCTCAGTGTCATAATTTGCCATGTCTTAGGCAAATTCAGACGATACTGTCTCACAGGTACGAGAATACCTTGGTAGCATGCTCCATCATTTTTTTCTGTTACTTCAAAGAGTTCATGTTAAATGCTCTTCAAGAGTAAGTCTACATAAGAGTTCATACAGAGGCTGAAAAATTGTAAATGCTTTAAGGAAACAGACAGGGATGATGTTTACCGTAGCCTGAATCCACCTGTACTCCAAACTGAAAGGAACAGATAAGCCTCCACATCCAATTCAGCCTCTAAAAATGCCATCTCCCCAGAGAAAATTTTCTAGTTAATCTTTCCTACCATTTCACACTCTGCAAATTCCTGCAATATAATTTGTCTCTCCACACACAGTTCCAAGAAGTCTTCTGAATGGAAACTTTCATGTAGAGCAGGGAAGAACGTTAGCTGGTTACAATCTGATCCCTTCTTATCCGTCTCTCTTTCTGCTCCATTTAATGTCAGCTCTCCTATATCAGTAGGATAAAAGAGATTGCAGTTTTAGTGGCAGCTGGATGACACCAAAAGCGTTTGCAATTTAGACTTTCACCCAATCTGTTCTACTTTGGGAAATAGTATTATTTATCTGCAAAAAAAATAAGCAAGAGAAAAGTAAAATCTGTGACTGCTAAAGAAGGAAGCTTAGTTCAAGGAACTAAGAACAGGTAGTTGTACTCAGTCATAATTCAAACTAAATTCCTATAATCACTGACGAGTCAAAAATACTGAATATATTTATTCTCATTTCTGCACTGCATTGGGCTGGTCATCTGATAATCAAATAATTTTTTTAAAAAAGAATCTGTTCACATACTCACATGAAATTAAGAAAAATTGAAAATGATAGTCTTTTGGTGACATGCACTGAGCAGGATCTTAAGAGAACCCAAGGGGAGACAATCCACTCATATCTTGCCTGAGCTGTGTCGCAAGTGTTACAAATTCATGCAGTGCACACAGTTAGGGAAGGCATGATCAGCCTTTTTATTGAGGTAGACTGTAACCACTTTTGTGCAGAAACTACATAGTACTTCAGTCTTGTTTAGAGTCTTGTACAAGGAGCTCCACTCTCACTTGCTTGCTAGGCCCTATCACACTAAAAAGTATACAATGATACTGCCCATTTCCAACAGTGGACACTAGAAGCTTGACTTGGAGCAGCCATACAGGTGGCTGAAATCCACAGCCTTAGACTTAACTGACATTTCCAAATTACAGCTTTCTCAGTGTTTTTTTCTTCCCCCTCTCTGAAAAATTATTGACTTCTGTATCATATTTCACTCTCTTCTTCCTCTTAATGTCTTACATAACAGAAAATGAAAAACATTGACATAATGATCATATTTTGAAAAATCCAGTTCTATTTTGAATGCAGAAAAACAATTTGACATGTTAATATTCTTAATTATTTGTTTCCACTCTCCATTATTTTGTCCACATTCTTGGAAAGGTACAATTCTTATTACAACTTCTCTGCACCGTCTATTACCTGGATTTAAATACTATTTCAGAGGTAGAACTGGAGCATCTACTAAAAGCAAGGGGAAAGTCTGAACATTTCCTTCTGAGTTTAAGCAGCTGGGTCCTTTCCAGGTGCCCAAGAATGCCCAAAGCTTTCATTTCAAGATAGCTTTTTTGCTTTCAGATCCTTCTGGTGGCAACAAGAGTGCAACAAATTCCGAAGACAGTTTATATACCATGTATAACACTTGCATCAGTCTTTTCCCAGATGTTATGGTGACTTTTTAGCCCAGAGCACTAAGTTTTTTTCACTAGATGAAACTATGACCTGGAACTCTATACACTATATCAAATTCTCTTTGGCTGTTCATGTCCACCCTCTTGATGATGTAATTTAGTCCTAAAAGGTTACCTGGATTCACTTCAGAAGGGGTGGTTGTTTCATTTCTGTTTGCTAGGAGAACCTGAAAAGAGACTAGGTATGACTAGAGTGGAATATGCAGACAGGTAAATATAACTCAGAACCTTGTTGAGGAGAAAAATACAGATTCAGAACTACGTTGCAAATAAATGCCTTGAACAATGAAATAAACTCATTTGAAAGGACCCAAATGAACAATTAAATGTAGGAACAAATGTCAACAATTAAGAAAAAGGACTATTGTCTTTTCAGAGAAGACCCTGCATGAGGCCAGTTACAGGATTAAAAAATCATACCATCCAGTCTACAGAAAAATGCCCGAATCTAAGCTTCACATAGAAGTTGAAAATGTCCGAGAGATAGGAACCTCCTGATATACTAAAAAGTGCTTCAGCTTCTGGTTGATCGGATTTGAGACTTAGGCACTATAGAGACAGACAGTAGTAAATACCCCACATATACAATTCAATGCTTAGTTCAAATCACTCTAATTCCCCTTTCAATCATCCACCAGTTCTAGCAGTCCCAGTAAGCATAAGACTAACAGGACAGTGCAGCCTTCTCACTGGACTCTGTTCTATACATTGGGAAGTGCTATACCCAGGAGATACTACAAGCACAAAAGTATGGTTGGGTCATACTCTCACCTATCTAGGGAGATCTTATACCAGAAAAGAGGGAAAATCATTCTGTTGCTGCTAAACACATCGCAGCCCCTCTTACTCTCTCAAACACAGACCCGTTCAGTGGGTTCTCTGTGCATGGCACAGCATATAGATGAGTCAGGTGATGAGAACCAGAGGAAAGAGGTGAGTATAAAGCCATGAGCAACTGTAACAGAAATTGTGCACCTCCTGCAAAAGCTTTCTACCTCACTCTTCATTCGCACCATTGTTGCTCTGGTGTTCTCATGCCGAATCCTCCTCCTCATTCGTGAAGGCCCTTCATAACAATCAAGAATCCATCGTGGCTCTAAGGATCGTGATGCATCTCCCCATGGGCCCCTTCTGTAGAAAAGTTGTTCCTCAAGTATCATCCAGTCTTTGGCTGCTTTGCTGTAACCACACTGCAGCATCTGTAAGACAGAACCACTTTGTGCCACCTTTTGCACACTTCCCTGCTCCTATCCAGCAGTGGCACCACTCCAGTGATTCAGAAGGATCTACCCGATCTACTGGATGGGAACACTGCAGAGAGAGTGCTGCAGACTCAGCAAACACAGACCCTACTGGCCACTGAAAGTGTGCTGTGGGAGATGCTACTTGTCAAACTAAGATAAAGTGACAAATATAAGCATGTTGCAAACTTCAGCCTCCTTGAAAATGGCTGCTTTCATTAGTTTTCCAACTCTAAAGCAGTAAGCCAGGAGAACAGCATCACAGAGGTTTTATTCACTCCATTTCTTTTCTGGCAAATGTTTGTGTCAAATGGCAACAACCATGCTGACTGAAAACACAGTCTAAAAGTCTCAGTCAGAAGTGTACTGTACTCCCTCCAAGCACGACATAAATGTAATTATTTCTACTTAGGAGGTGTGTGCAGGAGGTTGGGGAGGCACTAAAATATCAGTTTAAAGGAGATAAGAGGCGAGAATTTCAAAGAATGAAAAGCTTGTTGGACTCGGATGGCCAATCCTGAAACAGAAACATACCTGTGAGATTTTACTGGCTATGAGCTTGAGATCTCTTGAAAAGTTTTGCTGGCTCCTAAGAAAAAAAAGGTCAAAGTCCTCACTTTCATGTCTTCCACTGTGAGAGTGGAATAATTCATTTAAAAAAAACAAAAAAGGCTCCTGAAGATCAAGTGAGGAATCTGATCTCTCATCATCAATCATCAACTCTCAGGGTTGCTTTAGGCATACTACTCATCTCACTTCTGAAAAGCCTCATTTCTCAGGATAGTCCAAGAGCATCCTTTCAACAACAGAAAGCAGTTGCACAATATTCGTGTTCTTTACCTGTATGTGGTTCTTGTACAAAGAGGCATACAGCTCCTGCCCAATTCTTCGGTACCGTTCCATACATGACACAAATCCCTAGAAGAAACATCAGAACACATTACATCAAGGTGTTGCAGGTGTAAACTCTGAGTGGCAGAAGCAGGCATTAGTTGCTCTGTCTTTTACCAGAATAATTAGGGAATATGGCCTGTGTCTGCAAGTTTGACAGCTCTCCAGACAGTATAGTGATGAGGCAATCATCTGAGAGCAAGTTGCCCACTTACACCAGGAAGACAAATGTATTTATGATCTTAACAAGGGTCATTAGTGGAATTAATTACTCAGAAGAAGAAAGAAAACAGCAAATAAAATTTAAAGCTTATCCTTTTGGAGCTGAATTCATTAGTACCGCAGTAGCATGAAAGATATTTATCTGTTGTAGAGATTCTGACAGAGGTAAGGATCTGTAATTATAAACCTGCTTCTTGCTGCATGAACAGAAAGTTCAAACAAAGGAATGGTCCATGTCTCCTTTTGCAGACAGAAAATCAACTGTTTCCAAAAAAGTTTTTGAGCTTTAGGAGCCCAAGTCCTCTGGCAACAAGTGACTTTGACTGTAAATACATTATTTAACGGGATTGTGATGCAGAGATGTCTGAGCTAGCTCTAGAACTGGAAATGTAGAGCTGTGCTAGTGCAAGATGACACCCATAGTAACTGCCTCTGCTCCACTACCCAGCACAGACATGCCTTAAACCCCAGTGCTACTCAGGTGTTTCTGGAAATACATGTTTTCCAAAGCAGTCTGACAGAACTTCCTGGCCACCTTTGCACTCCTTTTAGAATGCGCTAGACTCACAGAACAGGGAACCCGCGTTAAGTCCTGCGTTTCATCTGCTGTTTTATTGGAATTGACTTCTCAAGCTAAGGGTCTCTTCAAGTACAAGGCTGATGAACTGCTGTCAAGAGGTTGAGAGTGGCATTCCTCACCCTGCAAACTGATCTTCAGCAAGACACGCAATTACCCTGAGCCGCTACCTCTCCAACCACAAAACAGAGACTGTAATACTAACCTCAGAGTTACACAGGCTAAGATCATGAACAATGGTCCAGTGTGGTAGGATCCTTAAACTGAGGGAGTAGAGAAATGAAATAGGTTTCATTCTCTTTTCACTTACTCCGCTAAAACCCGTAGGTTTTGGCATCACAAGGTTCACATAGCCAAGACCTATACAGAACACAAACCAGAGAATTTCAAACAGCGCTTCCTGTCTGAGCCTCCCTTGTGAAAAGATCAGCAGAAGCATTATTAAACTCAATAGAATTCTTCAGGTGCCAAACTTGCATTACATAAATAACAACAAAATACAACCTAGGATATTCACTATCATACTAATTCCTCAAATTCACCTGTTAAACTTTAATCAAAGACAAGCTTCCACTTCGAAAATGCTAGGTTTGCTTCCCTCTCCCTCCTAGCCATCTATGAAATTCTGGGTCCCAAGGAGACTTGAAGTATTTGTTCTCATGACTTTTTTTTTTGCCTGATCAGAGGGACAAAGCATACAGAAAGGCTGTTTGTGTAGCTGAAGCACTGAACAACTGCTGGGTAAGCTACTGGCTTGTTTTATCTTATTGGATGAAGGCAACTGAAAAACCAGCACAGGACTCTGCTTTAATGGGCTGTCCAACACTCATGGGACTGTTTTACAGTCTTGTAACTCAGACTTTTCTATGCAGACACAAAGATAGCTCTCCATCTATTTCTCTCCTTGCTCAATATCTCTTCGTGTGACTGCTGACAAATAGCTACTGGGAGGAGTCCAGTGTTACAGCCACCTTACTAACACTCACAGGTAAAAATTCTCCTGTTTGACAGTGTATTTTCTGGAAAAAGAGTTTAGCTATCCTATTACAACTACATGATGCCATGTCTGATCTTCTGGGCATACTTGCTTTGAAATTTTCCAAACCAGAAGCCATCTAAAAGAGCAATGTTTTTTTTTCCCCTGGAGTCAATGGTACAGCACACTGGGACCTGATTCAGGATGATGCTCCTAATCCCCACTGAAAGAAACAGAATCTCAAGTCACAGCATCCAAATAAACCATAAATAACTATTCCATGTGCCAGCCAAATGTGTAGGAAGGATGCAGGCTTACTTCAACATGATTTTGAAGTGAGAATAAGATTGTGTGCCCTTTCCAGGAACTTACAAAAGGTACACCAATGCCATGAAATTGGGAAAAAAAAAAAAGGAATCAGAGAGGCTGATGAAGCTGACCATTAACTAAAGTACAAAGGAGTAGCAGAAGTATCTGTCCCTTTGATAAATTCCTGAGGATTAGAAGTGGCAGAGAAGGCAGAAGCTGTTCGATGATTATATAGGAGAGGTTAGAGTGCCCCCAGTGCCTTCGAAGGCTCTCATGCTTCTCTGACAAAGGTGAGATTGCTGTGAGTCACAGCACAAGGCTAAACTGGCTGTGAAAGTCCCAGACTTTTACCACCTAAAGCCACGGATCAGATGGGTAACTTTTAAATGCATGGACTCTGTGCCATGCTGGCAGTGATTTCTCACAGCAAACTGTCTAGCTGCTGCTTGCACTGTGCGATAATTGAGTTAACACACAAGGTCTGTGTGGTGTGCCGATTACCGCTGGCTACCAGCCAGGTCCGTACCCCTGCCGCGAAGTCACATTTATTGGTGTTTCCCTGCAGGAAGCTCCTGTTTTACACTGATGAAAGTCATTACATTTTTGTTTGTTTAAAGCATCATTAAACCTGTAATCACAGTTGCAGCCTCACAAAACTATTCCATAATTCATATAAAACTCCCATAAAGGCTGACCTAGAAAGCAACAGCATCGCTGTGCTGTTTAGCTGAGCTCAGTACAGGAGAAGAGACGAGATCCCAGCTCTATGTGGACATAGGGTAAAAGCCATTCAGAATAGACAACCAATTCCTCCAAGTATTAACAACAATTTCAGATAGCCACGGGCTATTCAAGCCAAGTCAGTGCTTTACTGGCAGCTGTTTCAAAGTCGCTCATAGCCTGTATTGCACTTACAGCCACCGATCAGACCCCTAAGGTCAAAGCCCACAAAAAATCAGCAGAGATTCTTGCTGATTTCACTGATCCAGCTTCTAGCCTTTGAAACATGTGAAGGGTCATAAGAAGGAAAAATTCTGCTAGCCACATCTGGTGAACTGAAGACTAACCACTCCAAATGAGCTACAGCTAGTCATCTTCAACCAGATGAACACGTCCCTGATGATTATCTCCACGAGAAAACCATCTGGTTGTAAAATGAAATGAACAGTTAACAAAATTGGAGATCACTGTGATCGGAAAAAAAAACACCAGCCCAAACCAACAAACAGATATCCAATAAATATGGATAATACAGACCAGGCTACTATTTACTAAGTGTTCAGTCAGAACAATTACACTGTAATGCTTAATCAACAACTAGTGCAAACAAGTTTCTAACAAATAAACAGTTTCCATTAAAAATTGTAGGTGGTTATCCTTTAAAATGGCAACGCTTTATGCAATAGATTAAATACAACAGTGCCAGAGTGTAATATCTACCTTGAACAAACACAATATGCCAGCTTTGATAACTGTAAATATTGTGTAACATAACATAAGGCTTGAGTTTCATATGCAGAAAAGCAGGTGTAAATGCAATATGACCTGTTTCTAGAGAACAGCAGATAAAAGGCCATATTGATCCATCCTGGCCTAAAAATCTATGATACTATGCTTTAAGTATTTATTTTACACATACTTCTCTACTTTGCAGCCTTAGACAATCACGTACTAAGCAGAATCAGGTTGTTCTCCTGCCTCAGATTCCCCAGGCAATATTTACAGCCTGAAAAGGTGATGGAATTTACAAGCTAGTTCCGTATTAAAATAAAAACAAACAACAAAACACAACACAACACAGAATCAAAAGCCATTTCTCCTCTTGCTGCACGGAGACCTCATGCAAACAAGAGAGAAAATGATTAGCACTGGGGAAAGGTAAAACCAGGAAGGAGAAAAATGCTCACAGACAGAGAAATTAGCATGCCAAAAAAAAACCCAGAGTGTGGATTTTCTATTATATGTTTCAACTAAAGCAACTGAAAGGCTGCTTGTAATAAGAAATGATTTAAAAGGAAAAAAAAAAAAAAAAGGTTGAGGCGTGATTTTTACGTTAGCAATTCTCTGCTGAGCTCTGGAATGTTTTATGTCTGATTTTTTTTTTTTTTTTAATATATATCACTTAACACTCCTGCACTCCATAAATATTCAGGTTTGCCATAATAAACTCATATTGCATGATACAGACGCCACATATGCCACAGTTCTTTCCTAAAGAAACATTACATTATTGGAGCTCTGCACTTTGAGGCTTGCTTTGGGGAATTAAAAGCTATGCGTTGTGTTACAGAACACACATGCAGACAAACGCATGTGCCAAAACTCTTAATAAGTAAAAATAAACTTCAAGACAAAATAATTTTGAACTTGGAAGAGCCAAAAGGAAAGCCCAAATATCCAGATCCCTTGCTGTGCCAAGTGAATAGTTCTATGGATGATAGTGAGAACACCCACGCACTTGTCTTTAACCATGTGTTTTAGTCATCTGCTGGTGAGGACTAGAACTAGTGATATTAGTCTACTACCTTAGCTCTTCCAAAAAAAAAACATAGTAAGTGCATTCATATAGCATTGCAGCTATAACAAAAGTATCTACTCTTGTACAGTACTTTTCACCAGTACATCTCAGAGGTCTTTATGAAAGAGGTCAAAGTCTCGAGCTTACATATGGGGAAACTAAGACAAGTGAGTTTCTGGAACATCCTGACACTATGACTTGGTTGCAGGGCAAGGGGGGTGGGTGATGGGGCAAACTCAACCTGAATTACTTTGAAACAGCCTGATAAATCCACAAAGAGGATGTATATGGTGACAGCATGCAGTAGTGGGAGGGGGAAACAATTCAATGAACCAGTTTGGAAATCCCTTCTGCTCTTATGTTCCCAGTGCCAGATTGTATTCTAACAGAGCTGATTTATCAGATATTAGATCTTATATCACAGA